ATTATTACCCGAATAAATCAATAGATAAACATTTACAATAAAGATAACAGTGATTTACATCGCAGCAATAAATTAATACAATTTACAATGCTTATAGTCGGACAGATCCGCGGTCGAACAATCGGAAAATTCATTTCGCGACAATTCAGCGTGATTCTCCGTGTATATGCAGCGAAAGGTTTGAAAATTCCCAACATTTCTGCTCTCTCAGGGCTTCCGTTCTACGCGGGAAAGAAAAACAACGTGAAACAAAACCGTACCGAAGTATTCAGCCAAGAATCTCGCTGGTTAGCCTCGTCGCTAGAGTTAAAACGACCGACGAAAACGCTTCGCGCCACGCCGCCGCGCCGTTGGAAGCGTTAATCGCGCGCGAAATTCAAAAGGCATTTCATTTCTTTTTCTTTTTTTCGTTTCACGAAAAACTCACGGGCCCGGCCGCGAGACGCAGCAGAGTGATCTCGTCTGTGGCGACGTCGAATCATAACAAAAAATCCTCGGCAACCTTCCGAAATGTAAATATTTAAGCTCTCAAGATCTACTAGTCTCATTACGCGGACCCCTTGCAACATTCACCGGATACTTTTAAAAATTTTTGGCAGCGAAGCACTACCTCTCCGGTTCCATAAATTATTCGACTTCGACGGAGAGGGGATGAGGCTTTCGCCGGAGCTGTGCCCTAAGCTGGTAGCCGATGAATATTCCTCGTCTCTTTAAACGATCCTCTACGCTCTCCGGGCTCTGTGCGCCGCCAACGCTTCTTCCGAGCTCCCTCGTCTGTCGCAGCTGGCCCACTCTTTTAACACGGTGGTTTTCCTCTCTCGGCAAATATCCCCGTCTCTCCGTATACAGCAGTGCCATCTAACCTAAGCTTCCGGGCTTAGCGTACCTCCCCCCACTCTAACTTCATTACAGGTTCCCTTCTCTGCCCTGCGTACCTAACTTTGCGTTTCCATTGCTGCCACACTGTGTGTGTATAGTTGACGGCAGGGAGACGCTGAAGTCGTAAAAGATATTTCGATTGACGGGTCATATGATTCAAGACCGGAATTGAAGGTAAGCTGTTCCTATTCCGGTCTATATATAACGTATTCATATGCTGAGCCATTTCCCTGTTGGTTAGTTCTTAGGAAACTGAAGAAATACGCAGTATTCTCTCTTTGAAATTATAGTAAACGTCAAATAAGACCATAACTGTTTCGCGCATCTGGAATGAGCACGAGAGGTCTCTCGAACCCTCGATTCCCCCATTTCGGTGCTTTCTCTAACACGTGGGCGATAGAATTTGTCGTACACCGGATGACATAATGAAGTACTTCGCAAAACATGAATACTTGTAAATTGGTACGTTTGTACTTCATAGTCATTCGATGTATGCTGCTACACGAGGCATAGCGATGCTCAATTGTTTAAGACGTTGGTAACTAAGGTAACCGAGTGGAATATGCGCAAATAAGACCGAAATTCGTCGTTTTGCAGTTATGGTCTTATAGAGTATACGCTCTGTTAACCACGTTTTAATCACTTAATTACTATTCAGCGCATTTCCGACCTGTTTCGGCAGTTCTTGCTGTACTGTGTTGATTAATTTACGACTTCACTAGTTCTCTGCTGTCAAGTGTATAGACGTATGAATTATATAAACAGAATGTGGTGTAAAGAGAGAGGTAATAGCGCGGAAGGGGTACTTACTGTAAACAGCATTCGTGTGTTTACTTGTACTCGACTTCAAATGTTTTGAACACATAGATCCATTTTTGAGTGAGTCTGTATATCATCTTCCTCTTTCGTTGCTCTGTAGTTTATTTGAAATGGCGTATAGACATCAGACAAGTGTCATGAATATCTATAGAAATAGAATTTTAACGAAAATGAAGGAAGGTGCATCGAAGAGATATATATTCCTGTTATTGCCGGTTTTCGAGCTGGTGTAGGTTGTGGTTCTGTTAGATGCCAGAGCAATTCTACCTTAACACCTGGCGTTCTATTCCAAAAAGAAACAAAAACTGTATAAGGAAAGTCAATACGACTTTTGGAAACCATTAGAGGTAATAATATAGTGGGCGAAACAAGTATACTGATTCCTTTCATCTAGGTGCAGAGAATAAATGCTGCGATATTGTATCGATCTATTGGCTGTTTCATTTGAAGATAGATCACGTCAGAACAGCATTGATAGGCCTCTCATTGACCCATTTTATTCCCCTGCTTTCAGTAAATTCGAACATAGTTCCGCTCCTCGATTTTTCCAAAGAAGAGGTCGGACTGTAGACTCGCGTTAATGTAGCGCAGTTAAAGTAGCAGTAGGAACGCCCCAGTGCACAGGCATTACTCACACAAGTGCGTACACCCCACTATCGGTCGCAATCTGTAATCAAACTTCTGATGCAATTGGTAGATCGACCGAATTGCCGTGAGATCCTGCGTGCCCATTGGCTCACGTTGAAGTAACGTTTCCAGGAAAAATCCGTCTCGACAGCCTCGCACCACTACTTGAACGTGAGTCTACTGTACTATGTCGCTATATCTTAAAATGACAAAATATTTCACTGAATTTCTTTCTGGCTTCAATTAATAGCACAATAGTCAAGTGAAGTTTGTAAATTACCAGTTCCGAGTGCGAATGGATAGGTAACCTTCTTCAATGAATATTCTAATATCATGGTACGTTCCCGTAAAAAGTCACGTGGTTTTATTGTTACATGCTCTATCTTCAACTGAAACAGGCAATAGACAAACCCATTTGGTATCATTTCCATGAGCATTCTACTCGTAGCTGCCCAAGTGAACACAGTATTTTTCAAGAATATTAAAACAAGCGTACATTCATTAATTATGCTTTTGCCAACATCCGGCCATTTTTCAGTAGCGATAAACGTATTTGATCCTTTGAACTTATCAAAGATGTTGCTCATCAAGCTACTTTCAGGACTTGGAAAGTGTTCTGATTGTATTTCCATCTTATAAACGCCTTGTTGGTGGCGAGATATAGGGGTAGCAATGAATCAGTTAGACTGAGCACGACAGAAGTAAGGTACCACCCAATCAAATGATCACATAATGGGAATTAATACTCCATACAGTTTGCCAGTTCCAAACAGAGTGACTATTGGAGAAGAGGTATTGTATCATGCATGGTATTTCTGGAACTTGTCGTCCCTACACCATGTCCAGAATCCGGTGGTACAACAATAGATAATTCTACGGAGAAACATAAGATGAAACTATAAAATAAATGTCTCCTCGTATCGCTTTACACCGTAGGTGTCTAAAACTAGACTTCCCTGTAGATGTACACGATCACAATGAAAACTCGATTATCTCGTAAACAAAAGAGGTTGCGATAAAATGTTATACCATGCTTCCGACTCACCTTTCCATGTAGAATTAGCACCTTTCCGGTTGTACCACCAGAATACGTGACACTCTGCGAAAGAACAACGAAAGAGACAAGACAGTTGACACCGCCTACGGATAGAGGAACTATCACTGATTCGTCGAAATATTCGACGTCGAGTACACGTCTCATCTACACGCGCTGAGCAGCACTCTGTTTCTCGAGAACGAGCAACGTGTCGAGAGAGGGAAGCCATATTCCCCTCGTGCGGCGTAAAACCATGGAGTCGGATGTGAATTACAAACTGAGTGAGACACGCTTCACTGGTGTTTCCGGCAAACGATGCGAGTGAATGATTCGTGTTTATCGGGGATAACGACGGGCTGGGGAACAGGCTAGGGGCGGAAAACAAGGGATGCATCGTCAGGGAGGAGATCACAGTCGCGGAATGGAGCGGCGTGAAAACGAGAAGGAGATACACAGCTGTGAACGCTGGATCCCGAGATATCCCTGAATATTGTTTGATCGGTGCACACGAAATGTTGGACCTTTTGTGTGCGCTCGGGGATCGCTTATTAAGGCTCTCCGCTGATTTGCTCGATTTCTCGGTTACCCGAGGATTATACGTGAACTGTTTTCCTGTTTCAATGGCCGGCAAGTCGGGGCGGTACTCATTTAATTAAAAGCTCCGATTAATTGCCGCGACTAATTGCGTCTGATTTGCCACGCTTCTTTGCCCTCGGAGGCGAAGCTGCTATGATTTTTCATAGCAGTTTCCTGGGGAAAATATAATCGTAATTCCATGGTCGAACATTTTCTTATTAATGAAAGCATGTGCCTGTGTTTGTCCTATTTCTATTACTTTCGTGGTACGAGTTCCATATAATTAATATTTAGATGTTGCGAATTTGTCTTGGCTGATAATGTGGAAATTCCATTTCTCCGTGGATTTTGTTTCTGACACGGTTATATCAACCTTAAACGAAAAAATAGACTGTTTTGTAGAATCTAGGTCACCTGGATCATTAAAAACCTATATTTTAGTTATAACGTAAAAAACTATGCTCACCTACGTGTATAGAAACTTAAAACTTGAAGTTTAGACTAAAAAATTTCATTGTTAATAAAATTAAATTACCACCCGCATCAACGGCGTGTATTTGTGGTATCCACCCATGCGATAAGTTATTTGTGCGACTCGGTTACCATGACAGTGGTTATCGAAGATTTGCCTGTTTAACAAAAACCTTACTATATTCTATTGAGAAGAACGTGTACGCATTAATCGCGATACTTTTGATCGAAGAATCTGTCACCTGTAATATCATCAGAGAAAAATAATACGATAAAATACAATCGACGTAATCGATAATAACGCCTCATGTCCCACAATTAAAACAACTATCTATCGCCTCCGTTAAATAAATTTCGGCGTTCTCAAAACAAACGACGTATTGAATAGAAATAATTCGGGTTTCCGTTATACGTTAGACGATATTTTTTTCAGATATTGGGACGAACCGCTTTTAAGACTACTGCTAATAACACAATAGATTTTCACGGGTGAAATTTGTTCCTGCTTCGAGTATATTCGCCATTCTGGCAAGGACGGGAAGAAAGAAAGAAAGAAATAGAACAGTTTTAATAATTCCCGCGGCGTCGTCGTAAAGAGCGACGCAATTCGTCGTGGTAAAAATCCGACATTTCATTCGCAACGATCTAATATTCCCTTATAGACAGTGCAATCTTGATACCCCGTCTTTGAGCCCCGCTTCACCGGCAATCTCCCCCCATTCCATCCCCCTCCATCCGTCCCCCTTTCGATTCTCTCACCCCTGTCCCCTGTTCGACTCGGTCGTGTCCCAACGACCCGGACAAATGCGCCTCGGCAGTGGAGAGTAGTCTTGGTTCCAGGTTAACCCAAACCTCCGGCTGTCTTGGTCCCGTTAGTCCGTAGGTTAGAGTTCCTCCGGTCCTCCTCTGGAACCCACGGTACAAGAAGAAAAGGAAAAACAAAGACACTAGAGACTTTTTTGCGCGGGGCGACAATTCGTTAGTACATGGGCCACCGTCCGAAAGGGGTTAAACCCCTTTCAGCTCGGGCTTATTTCGACAATGTTAATTGGTGTATACAGGGTGCGCACTATTGAAAGGCGGTTGGAAACATTGTAAGGTTGGAATGGTTCGGAAGAATGGATGAAAATTGTACACTGCCGGTCGAAGGTATGGGGATTTGGGCTTCACACAAGTGCTGGGATAGGATCAAGTGGGGGAAGGTTACCAACTTTGGACCATCGCTTAGATTGGACCACTACTGTAACTTGTCATGTATAAGCAATTTGCGCCGTATGATGAACGATATGTGTATGATAGTGGTGATTGCATTTACAAACTTAGTATATAAGCAACACATATCTGTCATACGGTGCAAATTGCTTTCACATGACAAGTTACAGTAGTGCTCCAACCTAGGCGATGGTACAAATTCAGCAACCTTTGCCTATATTGCGAGTAGGTTCGAATCTGACTGAACAGTTTCGAAGATATCGTGAGTACTTTGAAAAAGCAAACGATACTCTTAATCCTAGGACGCCTGTGATGGATTTATTTTGACTCTCGTTTTCGAGAACTTCGTCGGATATTTCAGCTTACGATGACAAGTCTTAGACCGATAATTGTTTATATTAGAGCGTATATGACGATTCGGGTGCCTCGAAGAAATGAATTCTTTAGTTATTATTCAGTTCTGTATTACGAAGGAAAGATGTAGAGGAGGTGGTCCAAATGCAGACTAGGGTCTAAAAAAGGTGCTCATTTTGACACTATATCATAAAGCAAACATGTTTTGGATACATTGAAGTGTCTTGTAAATCTTCCTGAAGTAAACGTGCTAGCCCATATTTAGACTACGTCCACTATTCGTTTGATTTGGAAATATGGATATATGGATAATTGGAATACTGGTTTCATTTGATTTTTACCAGTATGATTTGCTTGAGTATTATATAAAGTGAGTTTTAGCTTCTTTTGTTATTTATGTAATTTTTATTTCACATTGCTTAAGAAAAAATCAACAAGTAGGTATTTGTGGAGCATTTAGACATTTTACAAAGAATGAATATAGTGAACGTAATTGATATTTTGCTGTTTATTTATATTCTTTGTGAAAACGAACTTTAGAATTAGAAATATCGTTTGCTATAAGCAAAGAATTATATACCTAAGTCATAAAAGTGGATGGAGATGTGTATTGGTTAATGTTGACTCATTACAGGCCTCCATGGGACCGCCGAATCGTTGGTACTCTGAAAGTTGAGTAGACTCGAACCTGTATGCGATAGATTCAAACTCTTTACGAGTACTTTGATAAGTGTAAACGATACTTCTAAGTATTGTGTAATAGAATGTTGGCTAAGTTAATTCGAACATTTTTCAAGTACTTTACGTAGGCATTTTTATTATGTTGAACTGTGTGATTTGTTTTCGGTGAGAAATAGAAGGAAGTTATGTTTCAGTGTTCCAGTATAACTTTCACGAGATTCGATTCTTTCAGATGACAAAGTATTTAGAGGTATTTATAAACACTACACGTACTCGTTCTGGAATTCAAAACCAGCTTGTATGATCCGAGTACTTTGTAAATATAAGGTATGAAACATCACCTCTTATAAGTAGTATAATCGAATCCCATGAAGGGAAACTTTTATACTAGAATTGACTTGGTTTCCTGACTACATATTGAACTTGATCCCATCACTAGCGATGGAAACACATGGAATCAGGGAAATATTATTTTATAGGTAATTGATGAAAACTATGGAGACAATAGGTATTTAGGATAAATTGGTACTTGGAACAAATTATAGGAATAGCTATCCACTGAAAGAAAATGGTACTTAATTGTTATATACTTAACAGATATTTTCAAGATGTTACCATAGAAGTTAGGTTTATTTTACCTAATCATTTTTCTCGTTAAAATTAGTTGAAGTGATGTCTGAAAAAATGGTAGTTACGTTGACCACAGTTTCAGTACAATTATATCATTTGAAATTAGCGTTATAAGAAATATCAGGAGTTTCTTTTAAACATTGTAATATTCTGGTATATCAAAGCAGTGCAAATCTAATATTCGCAAACGAATTTCAAGTAGCAAATAGTACATCATTCGTTGATGTTCAAATTAAATATCTACTAAATTATTTGTGGGCATTTATTTTGATAAAAGTGTATATTTTAATCAAGTTTACGGAATGAAGGTGAAAAAAAATAGTTTTTTCATTGAAAGCTAAGTTAAAATTGCTTAAAATTTTATGTAAAGATTGTAACTACAAATTGCTCATTTGTACCTCAACTATGGATCGAGAAAACAGAATAGACTATACAAGAACATAATAACGAATAGATCGTTCAAATGCCCTTATTTATTATTCCATCCACAGTAATATCAGTAACTTTTACCAGACAATAAAATGTCTTATCATATCCATAACAACGATGAAGGGGGTATTCCCATATGGAGGGATAATTTCTAAGTAATGTTTAGAACTAGAATGATTGTTCACATTTAAACAAAGCACAGCATTATTTTCATGTAGTTATCGTATACATTAACAAACTTATTACATATTTTTTTCAACGTACCGCTGTGAATGACTGCCATGATTCATGGTGTTGTTTCAGGTGTCGCGTTTTACGTACACATTTACGAAATGTTATACATCAAGAAAATACAAGTAAAAAATCAATTACATGAACCCTTAAAATAGGAATACCCCGTAATAGCATCATATGGAAGATTTAAAAATTTAACCAGTTCGACTAGACTAGCAGCCACCTAGCAGTGGTGGCAAACCTTTTTATGTGCGCGTACAAAAAATATATAAATAATATTTATTCAATCGCTGACCTGCCGAGCAATTTTTTAATAAGAAGTCAATAATTGCAGAATTTTTTTGAGACAGTTTTGAAAGTTGACATAGAGGTTCATAAAGAAGAACACATAACTTGTCATAAACATTATCGTATAAAAATCAATAATAATCATTTATTAATGAGATCTTCGCTGTTGTGTATTCAACGCCAAATGCGTTATATCAGGTTCATATTTTGTTAGTTTTAACATTACACCCGCCTAACTAGATTCGTCAATTATTCTATTTCTTAAACTGTCTTTTATAAAATTCATTTCGGAAAATAATGACTCACAACCATATGTGAAGGAAAAAATCGATAATATAGCTGTTAATGTAATAATAAAAATTAACTGATAATAAAAATCTGACTAAGTTATAAGCGTATAAAATGATATCACCGGTAAATGGTTCACGTGCCAGGAAAATTTTCGAATGTGCCACCTCTGGCACGCGTGTCATAGGTTCGCCATGCCTGGCCTAGGGAAAGGTTGCGTCATCAGCAGCATATTCATTAAACATCGCCGAAATGGTAACGGAACTGCATCGATTTCAATCAGTGAGAACTTACCAGCTTTCGTGGCGAACGAAACGTCTTTGGGATGATTGATCTTGATGGCGTTCATCCGTCTGTTCTGCGGCTCTTGGCCACCGGGGCAGCCGTCACCAGGCGTTGCTCCGAGGCCAGATGACAGAGCACCGGCGCCCAATAGCGGTCCACCCGGCGGCATATGTGATTGTGGGCATCCGGATGGACCCGCAGCTCCTGGCCCACCGGTCATGCTTGGCGCGCCCGGTGTTCTGACCCGTGGCTGCTCGACCGGAAGTACGCGGCGTCTCTTCTTTGGTAGCTTGGCTCGCGCCTGCGTGTGACTGTAATACATCGCAAAGTTGCTGACGATCACGGGCACCGGCAGGGCGATCGTGAGCACACCGGCTAGGGCGCAGAGTGCGCCGACGAACATTCCGACGTAGGTCTTCGGCACCATGTCCCCGTACCCAACTGTGGTCATCGTGACCAGAGCCCACCAGAGGCCCAGCGGTATACTTTTGAAGTCGTTTTTCGGGTTGTACTGGGTTCGTTCCGCGTAATAAACCAGACTGGCGAATATCACGATCCCGAGGACCAGAAAGAAGACTAGGAGCGTTAACTCCTTCGCCGAGGCACGGAACGTCTGTATCAGGATCTTCAGGCCGGACGAGTGGCGGGTCAGCTTGAACAGTCTCATGATACGTATTATGCTCAAGAACTCGAGGATGTCCGCGTTCTCGAGATGCGAGGCGAAACGTTGCAGCGCCAAATCGAGATAGAAGCTCAGTGTCGCGACCATGTCGATCAGGTTCACCGAGCTCTTGATGAAGACGCAACGGTTCGGGCTGGCTGTGATGCGTATTAGGAACTCGAGCGTGAACCAGGCGTTGCACATGCACTCGATGTAGAAAAAGAAGTCGTGAGCGTTCGTGTGCGTTTTGTCCACTGCCCAGGAGGTGATGTTGCCTATGTTCACCGTCCGGTTCACGATCACCGGCACTCGCATGTCCGGATGCGTCTTCAGGCAGAACGACAATATCGAGATGCAGATGAACAGGACCGAGACTATGCTGATCACCTGCGGAACATTTCGAGAACTCGATTATACATATAGAATGTACGGGTATGAGACATTCCCCAGTGATTGCTGTTTGTCAATATACTGTGGTTAGAGATAGATCACTCAGGGACCGAGTCTACGTGTACGTTCTGTGTACAGGGTGATGGCCCCGCTGCCGGGGCCGAAAGGCAAGTCGCCTGCTTTGACGTTTAAGTGCCGTGACCATAAACGTGTCATCGGTAGCTTAGTTCTACTGATCGACCTTCTCGTGTCTGTGGATACCATGATCATGGCACTTAAACAACGAAGCAGGCGGCTTGCCTGTCGACGCCAGCTGCAGGACGATCATCCTGTAATTTAAGATACACTTTGAAATAACTGGAAGTATTATAACAAGAGAATTTTTAGATTTTTCTTTAATTTTTACTTTCTGTAGGGGTCATTACACGTCAATTTGATCACATTTGCACTCGATGTCTGGATTTCTTTTTAAATGGAGATTTTTGTTGTCATTTTGCTGGTTTCGAAATTATATAAAAAATACAGACCCTCAAAGTTGGCACTTTTTAGAGCTTATTACTGTACTGTACAATTCATTACATTGTGTAAGTTGCTTATGCAATGAATGATATTAGTTTTTGTAAGAATTTGTGAGGATTATTCCATCCATTTAATGTTGGTATTTGGTACTGGCGTTTACTGTTACGTTATGTGAATTCTCAGTTAATCTATCGTTACGTTACGTGCATTTATAGGGAAAAGGTGTCTAAAACGATCCCTGGGGGTAAAATGATTCCTGGCTGCCCTGTGGCTATTAGTAGTGCTATATCGTAATGTCTTTCTACAATGGTTCTCCCTGTACATCACTAGTCGTTGCTCGAAGTGCCATGTGAATATCAGTGCTGTGTGTGTTGTCCACAAGAAAAGGTCTTTTTCAATGTTGTGTAATTTTTGTCATGAACGGTTTAATGTTACAGCTGCTTCTTGCGCGGATTTAACCACAATTCCATAATAAATTAATTAATTTTTCGTTACCGCATGTAATAAGTTTAGGTTATATTTACCCACTGAATTTGAGTTAGGTGTTTGGGGTCACATGATCCCTCTCTAGTAGGATAAAATGATCCTAGGAATGATTTTACCCATATGCCATATTATTGTTTTAGTTACAACAATGCCCTGTCAGTATGAAAGAAAAACAACTTTACTTTTATTTAAATAATGAACGTTTGTATTTTTTATATAAATTACGCCTTAAAGGGACCCTTTTAGACACTTTTCCCCTACTACTGTTTATTGTGACACTTTGAGTATTGCTATACATATAGGGTAAAAGTAGGTAATACGCCCCGGTTGACAAAAAGCCTCATATTGTTTCACGCACACAAGTAAGGACACGTCGCTGCAAACGACATGTTCGAATCTGGCCTACTTGTCCGTAGCTAAAGTCGAAGCTTTATTATTACGTTTCTCCATAAATACAGGGTGAAGCACTTGAAACCGGCCACCTGAATAACTTGGCTGCTATTGGTGATAGGAAGAAATGCATCAGGCCAAAATTATTTGGTATCGAGGTGCTGATCATCCGATGTAACTAGTTTTTTGATAGGTGGAGGCGTCAGAGATATGAAGGTCATGTCTGTTTTTTTTAAACGGAACGGTATGTTTTTTTACTTACATTCTGATAGAGTATTTCAAGACCAATACAATAACCTATTGGAAAGGTCATTCGTGGTCTGGGTTAAGCCAATTGTGATGGAAAATAATTTACTTTGGGGGAATGATGAAGCACCGTTGATTTATTTATCTAACAGTAATACACGACTAATACAAGTGTTCAAAATGGTGACTTTGAACATTGATGCATGCTCTGAAGCGTTGCTTGACGCGTGTGTTTATCGCGGCACAAGTTCTTCTTATACGCTCTATCATATCTTCTTTGGTTGTTGGTATTTCATTCTACACTTGCTGCTCTAATTTTCCCCACAAATAAAAGTCCAGAGGTATTAAATCTAGAGAACGTGCGGGCCATTTATGATTTCCTGTACGACCAATTCAACGATCTCCGAATGTCACGTTGAGGAATTGAGTAATTATCCGTGCAGAATGAGCAGGGCATCTGTCTTGTTGGAACCACATAGTTTGCCGTATGTGAAGCGGAATATTTTCCAGCAGGTGTGGCAAAATTTCTGTTAAAATATGTTTATATCTCGAACTGTTTAATGTGCGATCGATAAAATAAGGACCAATTATTTCACCGTCAAGAAGTCCGCACCAAACGTTTACAGACCAAGGTCTTTGTTTATCCACTTCTCGCAGCCACCGTGGATTTTCTATTGACCAATAATACATATTATGACGATTGACTTGGCCACAGTTTGTAAATGTGGCTTCGTCCGTAAACAAAACTTTAGCCAAAAACAGCTCATCACTCTGTAATTTCTGCAGACCCCATTCACAAAAATTTACACGGTTTTGAAAATCATTTCCATGTAATTCTTGGTGAAGTGAAACATGAAAAGCGTGGAATTTATTTAAATGTAATATTCGCAAAACACTTCGTTGACTGATGCCACTTTCACGTGCTAGCTGCCTTGTACTAGCATGGGGATTTTGTGTTACAGCTGCTAAAATGTTCACTGTATTTCGATCATCAGTTGCTGCCTTGAATCTTCTTCGTATTTTGTTATCTACACGTTCAATTTCTTGAAAACTTCTAATAACATTCGTAAATGTAGATCGTGATTGTGTGACACGTTCGGGAAACTATTCAGCATACAAACGGACTGCATCTCTTACAATTTGGCGACATTCCCCATAAACAAAAACCATATCTACTTTCTTCGCTATTGAATAACGCATTTCGGAAACTTGAGATACACGTCGTTCGGCAGAGATTCTCATAAACGACTAATCATAGTATGTACAGATGAAGCGTACAGCGTGATTGAATGTTTATTTCCATTCAACGACCTATAACAAGAGATTACGAGACAGAGATGAAGTAATAATATCAACAACCAGAGACGGCAAGGAAGTGTTCGACCATTTCTTCAAAGTAAATTATTTTCCATCACAATTGGCTTAACCCAGACCACGAATGACCTTTCCATACGTCATTGTATTCGTCTTGAAATACTCTATCAGAATGTAAGTAATAAAACATACCGTTCCATTTTTAAAAACAGAGATAACCTTCATCTCTCCTTGACGCCTCCACCTATCGAAAAACTAGTAACATCGAATGATCAGCCCCTCAATACCAAATAATTTTGGCTTGATGCATTTTTTCCTATCACCAATAGCAGCCAAGTTATTCTAGTGGCCGATTTTAAGTGCCTCACCCTGTATATAAAAATTTAGATTTTCGGATTCTGAACAATTTGCGGTGAGTGTTAAATAAATCTATGTTTGGTAACTCTATTAGATATTATTCTAGTTTTGTTTCTAATTCCATTGTTTGTTTATTTTGTCTAAACTTGTATAACATTTCATTAAGAATAATGTAAAGCAGAGTCTTATTTATGTAGGAACGTTTTTTTCCTATTGTGGAATCCTTTTCTCAATATTTACTATAACAATTACGCTTATTGTAACTCAATGCCTCCACTAGAACTCTCATCTTTGAGCTGTTTGTTGAGGGAAAAAATTACAATGTTTGTGAAAAGTATTTTTCTGGATAGAGAATTTCCATAATAAAATTAGAATATTAATACGGTGTTCCACTGTATACGACTCCATTAGTCAAATTTCCGATGTTTACTGACGAGAATTTTTAAAAAAGAGCAGCGTTCAGTTTGATAATTGAGAGATATATTTTCACAAAGAATCAATCCCGCCTTAATGAAAAGTCACATACAGAGTGTTTCACTTCAGTTGAACATGTATGTTATTTCCGATGCTATTAAATCTAAGAAAAAAATGATTTATTTCTGAAAATATTTCGGAGTTACCCAAGTGCGTCCTGAGAAGGTCGAGAAAGAACGAGAGCACAGGTGAAATTCATGTGCCATAAATTACAGTAGTCACAACAGTAAGATGTCTATCGCAAAAAGAAAGGCGGAAAAGGACCTCTCTATTGCTGTTGCAACATGTTACCCTTTTGGTGTAACAATTCGACGAATGTAACAATTCGGTGAAGTTAACATTTTCTTTTCTTTAGCTTATTTTATTGTAAGAATATAGTAATAACCATACAAATAACGCACAAAATAAGGTTTCTGGTTAATAGCAAGCTGTCATAGTTAAGTTTTTGACAGTACAAAATTATTAGCGGATTTTCTACTACCATGTAATTTTTAATTACCGTGTTGTTCAAGGGCCGACTGTAATTATGAGAGTAAGTTGTATAGTTTGAGGATGTGCATGTGGCGATTATGAGAAAGTTCATCCAAGTTCATTTTGAATGTCATTTCAAGGTCGTCGTTATTGTTTCTGTATTAATATTTGTTTCTTTTTATTATACGACTTTGTAATTGACATCAGTACAAGTTTCGCGGCCTATGACATCACGACCTTGAAGGTCGTTCAATAAAACAGTTGAATTTAAATTGCAAAGATGTAAAAATAATAAAACAAGAATAATGAATTCACACGATAAGGAAACAATTGAATGGCATTGCAGCATTTTCGCGATTCAGTGTGCTACAAGCATTCTGAATTCATTCTTTCAGACTACCCGCTGTTGTACACACTTCATTATAGGCGATAGATTTCAAAGATCCTCACGAATTCGAACGAATTCAGAGTGTACATTGCACAATGAATCACCGAAATGCTGCAAGAAACGCAGTCTTGTCTACAAGGTCGCATTATAAAAAGTAGATGCCAAAATGGAAAAAATAACGCTGACCTTGAAGTGACATTCATAGTGACTTTGTGGGTCGCCAGATGTACGTTCTGAAACTATACAATGACTCACATACTTGTTCACATACCTCTGAAATAACAATAAAATGTAAAAACTTATATCAAATTTCCGTTTATATATCTTCAATATTTTTATTATTATCATACTT